GAGCTCCTGGGGCAGCAGAGCCAGGGCCGGGCAGGGATCGGGGCAGCAGAGCCAGGGCCGGGCAGGGATCGGGGCAGCAGAGCCAGGGCCGGGCAGGGAACGGGGCAGCAGAGCCAGGGCCGGGCAGGGAACTGGGCACACTGTTTCTTCATGATGTTTTTTTGTTTTAAGGCTTATTGTTAAAATTTTTATTGGGAAGGCAGATTTACACAGAGAAGGAAAGACAGAACAGTCTATCCACCAATTCACTCCCCACGTAGCCACAGCTGTCAAAGCTCAACCCCTCTGAAGCCAGGAGTCAGGAGCGTCCTTTGAGTCTCCCACATGGACACAGGCCGTCCTCTGCTGCTTTGGCAGACCATTAGGGAGCTGGACAGGAAGTGGAGGCACAGGACATGAACCGGTGCCCATACAGGATCCCAGTGCTTGCAAGGTGAGGATTTAGACACTGAGCCATCACTCTGGGTCCTCTTCTTGAGTTTTATTTTTTTTAAAGATTATTCTTGGCTTGGCACAATAGGCTAGTAGCTGTATCCTCACTTTGCATGTGCTGGCTTTCGTATGGGTGCTGGTTCGTGTCCCGGCTACCCTGCTCCCATCCAGCTCCCTGCTTGTGGCCTGAGAAAGCAGTTGAGGACATCCCAGAGCCTTGGGACCCTGCACTCATGTGGGAGACTGGAAGAGGCTCCTAGCTCCTGGCTTGGGGTTGGCTCAGCTGCGGCTGCTGCTTGGGGAGTGAGCCAGCAGACATGGAACATCTTTCTGTATATCTGACTTTGCAGTAATAAATAAATAAATAAATAAATAATGTTTAATTTTTAAAATTTTTAGAAAGATTTTTTTTTTTTTACTGGAAATGCAGATATACAGAGATGAGGAGAGACAGAGAGGAAGATCTTCCATTCAATGGTTCACTCCCCAAGTGAGCATAATGGCCTGTAAGGCTCTGATCCAAAGCCAGGAGCCAGGAACTTCCTCCACCCACACAGAGGCAGGGTCCCAAGGCCTTGGGTGGTCCTCCACTGCTTTCCCAGGCCACAAGCAGGGAGCTGGATGGGCAGTGAGCCACCAGGATTAGAACCAGTGCCCATATGGGATCCCGGTGCATTCAGGGCAAGGACTTTAGCCACTAGGCCACACCGCTGGCCCAATAAGTAATGTTTTTAATTGGAAAGGCAGATTTACAGAGCGAAGGAGAGACAAAGATCTTCCATCTGCTCACTGGTTCACTCCCCAAGTGGCCAGAGCTGAGTTGATCTGAAGTCCGGAGCCTGGCACTTCCTCCAGGTCTCCCACATGGGTACAGGGCTCTAAGGCTTTGGGCCGTCCTCGACTGCTTTCCCAGGCCACAGGCAGGGAGCTGGATGGGAAGTGGAGCAGCTGGGAGATGAACTAGTGCCCATATTGGATCCCAGCACCCAAAAGGCAAATACTTAGCCACTGAGCCATTGTGCTGGGTCCTGTTTTTTAGTTTTAAAAAGTTATTTTTGTAGATCTGGCCATCTCATTCTGCTAGGTATGCCTATTGTGTCCAGGCCTCACTTGGAGCCTGGCAGGAAGACCCTGCAGAGTGTGTGTGTGTATGTGTGAAGCTTCCGCCCAACAGGCACTTTCCTGGTCTCTCCCTGCCAGCAGGTGCCCAGAGGACTGACCTCCCCTCTGGTGGTCTCCAGCAGGCCCCCTCAGGCCATCCTGGGGTGATATGCTCCCACCCCACACTTGGGGCAGAGATCCTGGCACTGGATTGCTCTGTCCCTGGCCTGGTCCGAGTCCTGGAGCCCCCTCCAACCACAACCCCCTCCACCCACAGGACCTCTTCTCCGCCCTCATCAAAGGCCCCACACGGACCCCCTATGAGGACGGCCTCTACCTGTTCGACATCCAACTCCCCAACATCTACCCGGCCGTGCCCCCCCACTTCTGCTACCTCTCTCAGTGCAGTGGCCGCTTGAACCCCAACCTGTATGACAACGGGAAGGTGTGCGTCAGCCTGCTGGGCACCTGGATCGGGAAGGTGAGTGTGGAGCCAGCATCCTGGCTGGCGGGGGGCAGGTGGGGTCTGAGACAGAGTCCATCCACAGTACTGTGTTTGTGTTGTAGGGGACAGAGAGGTGGACGAGCAAGTCCAGCCTTCTGCAGGTGCTCATCTCCATCCAAGGTGCGGTGGGACTGGTGGCGGGCTTGCTACCTGGACGTGCCCGCGGTGGGGTGGCGAGGTGAGGCAAGGACTGGCCGCCCCTGAGGTAAGGCGTTCTTGCCCACAGGTCTGATCCTGGTGAACGAGCCCTACTACAATGAGGCCGGCTTCGACAGTGACCGGGGCCTGCAGGAGGGCTACGAGAACAGCCGCTGCTACAACGAGATGGCGCTCATCCGCGTGGTGCAGTCCATGACGCAGCTGGTGCGGCGGCCGCCCGAGGTCTTCGAGCAGGAGATCCGACAGCACTTCAGCACAGGCGGCTGGCGCCTGGTGAGCCGCATTGAGTCCTGGCTGGAGACACACGTGCTGCTGGAGAGGGCCCAAGGCCTGCCCAACGGAGTCCCCAAGGACCAAGGCTCCCCGGAGCCCCCCACCATGGCTGAGCTCTCAGACTCGGGCCGTGAGGACCCCGAGGATGGGGGACTGGCCCCTGGGGAGGCCTCGCAGGGCTCCGACTCAGAGGGGGGCGCACCGGGCCCGGCCTCGGCCAGCAGGGACCCCACAGACCAGGCTCCGGGGACGGCACCAGACGCCTCTGTGCCACCCAGCGTTAAACCAAAGAAACGGAGAAAGAGTTACCGGAGTTTCCTGCCTGAGAAGAGTGGCTACCCCGACATCGGCTTCCCCCTCTTCCCGCTCTCGAAGGGTTTCATCAAGAGCATCCGGGGTGTGCTGACGCAGTTCCGGGCAGCCCTGCTGGAGGCAGGCCTGCCTGAGGTAACAGAGGACAAGTAGCCCCAGGCCCAGAGGAAGGTGCATCACAGAGGGCGAGGCCAGCTGCTGCCCACTCCCTCCCTCGCCTGCAGCCTCTCCCCTGCCCATCCGTCCCCTATGTCCCCCAGTGCCAATCCCTGCCCCGCCCCCTGGGTGAGCGTGGCACAGAAGTGCCAGGAGTGTCTCGAGGTGCTGCTGTTTCCTTTGCGCCGAGGTGGGACCCTGCCGCAGGCTTTCCGCTCACTGCCCCCGGCAGAGCGTCCCAGCACTTGTTCCCAGGGCAGAGGTGGCGTGCTACTGGGGCCTGGGGCTGGGCTCCGGCACAGACCAGTGGGAGGGTGGATGTGCCTTGCATGAAGGGTAGGTTGTCCCCGCAGTTCCCCTGGTCCCCACTGACCTCGGCAGTCGCTGTAGCCTCCCCACGTCCCAAGTCCTCCCTTGTCCCCCGACATGGGCATTGTCCCCAGGGAGCTGTAGCTGCTGCCCCTGACCCCTGGCGCCACCTGGCCCGCTAACTGCATTATAGCCCTTAGACCTGTTGGACTGGCTCTCTTGGAGAGGTTGGGACCAGGTGAGGTGGAAGATCGTACGCAGGAGAGGGGTGGCCCCCGCAGACTGCTCGGGGTGCCTTGCTGTGCTGCCTGGAGCTGGCAGGGGCATATGTAGTGTGGACTGTGGCAGGTGGCATCTTAGCCCCACAGGCTGGGGCAGCAGCACACAGCTGAGGCACAGGCGGGAGTATCGGGAGGTGGCCTGGTGAGCTGGCCCTGGCAGCCTTTGGCTTCCAGACTGCAGGCTCAACCCCAGAGGGAGTGTGCGTGTGAGTGCTGGGACCTCCCCGAGACAGACCCAGAGGTTTCCAAGTTTTCTAAGCTTTTGATAATGTGAAGCTCCAGGTTGAAAAAGCTGTTGAGTACACTGCAGCTCTGTAATTTTTGGTGTATGTATGTAATATTTAAGGTTGGACAAAATAAATCTCAGAAGCAAAGATATTAACTCTTATTAGAAAAAAAAAAGGCAAAAAAAAAAGCCAAAGCATGATGCGTTTTGTCAGCCTTAAGTGGCTGCATACCTGTGCGCTGGGCCCCGGGCAGCCAAGCCCGCCTGCCCCCCAGCCCCGAGCCCCCGGGCAGCCAAGCCCACGGGGCAGCTGTGCCCGCTGGGTGGCCGGGGGCTGGGGCGCAGAGCACAGCCGTCTGCAGGAGCGATCCGGGGTGGCCGGGGCTGGGGCGCAGAGCACGGCCGTCTGCAGGGGCACCATGAGCGGCGAGGCTGCTTCTAGCGCGTTGTGTGGAGATGTGAATGGTTCCTGCTTATACGATCTGTATAAAGTGCTGTGTGATTCAACTTTTTTTTTTTAACTTGCTTTTTTTTTTTTTCTGGTTGGCTCATTAACAAGACAAGGTGACACCATTAAATCTGCCTCTGCCATTCATTTGGGCTCTATTGCCTTCCTGTGTATGTGTGTGTGTGTACACATCTGTACCTGGAACAGTCCGTCCCCTGGGAAAGGAACCTCGTGGCCAGCCAGAGAAGGTCCCAGCTTCCCTAACTGGGTAGGGGGAAAAGGCAGCACTGGGCATAGCACCTTGCCCCTGCCTTGTCCACATGCCCCTGGCATCTTTGATTTCCACTCCCAGGGTTCAGGGGCCATGAGGGTCACTGTTCGTGCTTCTCGGCGGGGTTCATTCCTCACTGCTGGAGTTTTCCTGAAAAGTCAGTGCGCAGCTGTGTCTGCCTGTCAGCAGCTTGCAGTCCCTAGGGGCCTGCAGCTGACCCGGGCTCAGGCTCTAGATTCTGAGCGAGCTGGGCTGACATCACAGCTCCTGGCAGGGGCGGGCGGGCTGTCACTGTCCTCGCATGCAGGAGACTGCCCCTTGCTGCACCTTGGACACTGTGGACAGCTGCAGATGGGACGGGGAAGGGGAGCCAGGAGTCCCCATAGCCAACATTCAGAGTTCTTCGGGACCCCTCGCTCATTTCCCTCATGCCTTGAATTTAGAGACATGGTCCTTCTACTAACCCACCCCTGCAGCACCCCATTTCCTCCCCCCAGTCCCTAGAACAGAACCACCAGAGTGGGAAATGTCGTTTTATTCAGGTTTGACTCACAGGGTGGGCTCTCCGAGCAGGAGTGCCTCCCACAGCAACTGGCCCAGCCAGCTGAGTTTGTGGCTCTTGACAGGCAGAGCCTGTCTGTCAAAGCACACAGCCACCACCTCCCCACTCCTCCAGGAGTCCCGCAGCGCAGTGTGGTGTACACGCACACACCCAAGTCCTGGGAAGGAGGGACGGCCGCAAAGGCACAGTGCCCTAAAGTCACAAGGGCTCTTGAGGGGGTGACTTGTGCGGGGGCCCCATGCTGGCAGGGGGTCCCCCACAGTCACTAACCACCCAGAAGGAGTTGGGGTGGACCTGACCCTGCACGGCCTGGCTGACCATCAGCTCCCCATCCACAGCAAACACACCCTCCCCGTTCTTGGGCTCCAGGCGGAAGGCCACCACAGGCACGTGGACCAAGTAGGGGCAGTCATGCTCCATGTGCCTGCCCTTCTCCATGGCAAGGAAGAGGCGCAGCAGCGAGGCCCGGGACACACCTGCCCGCATGTAGAAGAGATGCATGACGCCCGCCGCGCAGCGGCCCATGGGGGCTGCAAACATCTCGCTGCCCAGGTGTGAGTGCAGCAGTGCCAGCACCAGCACAAAGTCCTGATGGGGCACCACCGTCCAGTGGGCAGGCACTGGCTCCTCCAGGGGCACCAGGTGCTCATCCATGGGGCCCTGCTGCCGTGCTGTAGCGGGCGAGCTGGGCGTCTGGGAGGCGGCTGCCCGTCCCGCGGGGAGGTAGGCCAGGCGACCATGGTAGGTACGCAGGGCTGCCAGGCGCATAAAGGTGCCCACTGTGAAACGCATCTCCCCCAGGCACCGGTACTTCTCGCTCTCCAGGTCCACATCGGCAATGAAGCCCCAGGCCAGGCTGAGCACAGAGAAGAGACGCAATCCGGACGCTGTGCGCAGCGACAGCAGGTTCATGGGCGTCAGCAGTCGTCGGCACAGCAGCCGGGTGCAATTGGTCAGGAGGTCTTCGTTGGTCACCTGCTCGTAGCTGTGGAGGAGACAGTCAGATGGCAAAAAACCAGAGCCCTGTCCTTCCTCCTCCAGCAACAGTGCTCCTCAGAGGAGGAGAGGAGTCAGGTGCAGGCAGCCGGGACCCCCAGCCCAAGTGGAAACGGAACTCAGAAAACCTCAGGGCCTGGGTCGGGGTCTTGGGGAGGCGATGCCCAGGGGAAAAGTACTCCTCTTGGGTCCCTGGGCTCTCACCCGGCATAGTGATTCAAGGAAGCTGCCAGCGCGTTGCCAGAACCTGCCGGAAGGCTGCACAGGGGCTTGCGGATGGCGATCTCCCAGTCGGCCCGCTCCATGAGCCCGTTCACCACCTGTGGGTGCAGCAGCGCCCTAGTGCTCTGAGCAGCCACTACCGGCCCGTGGCCCCACCGCACCCCGGAGAGGCAGTGGCAGGTGGGCTCACCTCGTGCATCAGCCCATCTCCAGACATGACCACCAGCGCGTCCCAGCGACCCAGCTCCTCCGCACGCACCAACTCCCGCGCGTGGTTCCGTCGCTCTGCAGTGGGGGAGAGTGGGGGTTGAGGGGTTCCACGAATAGCTCTCAGGGGATGTGCCTTGCACCCCACACACCCCGCCTCAGGGAATCACTCACCCGTGAGCATCAGCTTGAAGGAGACCTCGGCTTCCTCCAGCAGGGGTTGCACGTGGCTGCGGAAGAGCTGCAGGGCCTTGCCCTTGCCACCACGCGGGTTCAGCAGCACCAACACGCGGCAGGGCCGGGGGAGACCCCGGGGGCCGCTCGCTGCGGAGGAACCAACCGACGCCGCGTTCTTCGTCGGCCGCTAGGGGGACCGGACGGGATCGCGCCACCCCGGTGAACCTGCCCAGTCGGCGCGGGCTCCCGGGGTGGGGGCGCCCCTTTAGTTGTCCCTCCCTACCCGGTTCCGGCCTCGCGGGATCGGAAGGAAAGAGTCTTATCCCGAGCAGCCCTAGGCCCTCTCGTACAAGCAGCTGGGCGCTGTGCGTTCCTGGTGAGGAAGAGGGGATCCCCCTACGGCCTGCCCCCAGCTAGGCCGGTAACAAACCTGGATCCATAGCTTCGGCCTGTGGCTCCCACGGCAGTGCCGTGCCCTGCACCGAAGGGGCGCTGCCCGTGGCGGCCGCCGTCTCTGCTGCCTTCAGCCCCTTATCGCCACGGTCCAGGCGGGCGTCGCGGGGCCGGCTGTGGGGCGCGCCCTCCCCGAACCGAGTCGTAACTGCAGGACCCCCCGGGTCATTCTCTGCGGCGGCTGCATCTGAAGGAGAAGAGGAGCTGGAGACCCGAGTTGCGCGCGGCTCCTCCCAGGTGGGACGGGCGGGTGCGCCCCCGAGCCTGGGACCTCGTGTCCCTGCCTCGGTCCGCAGTCCGTGGGCAGGGAACCTGGGAGGTTCGGAGAGCAGAGCTCAGGTGGCACCTCGGGCGCCCCCGTCATGGGCCTGAGCCCCCAACCCCCGAGGCCAAGGTCGCTGCCCTGAGTTGGGGGGGCTTTCCTCTCTGGGGTCTCAGTTTTTCCGGTGCCACCGATGAGTCAGAGCCCCGTGGCTCCCTGGCTCCGACCAGCTCAGCATCTCACCCCGCGGGGATCCCAGAGGGTGGGGAGTCCAGTTGCGTAAAAATCCCAAAACTTGAGCGGTCATCACGGAGCGGGAAGTTTAGGGCGAGGATTCCCGCCCGCAGCCAGCTGCTTCGCCTCTTCCCTGCCTCAGCCCGAGCAGCTGCAGCCTCGCGCGCGCTTCCGAGGACCCCGCTCCAACGGGGTCCGCGTCCGGATCCCCCCAGCAGCTGAACCTGGGCCGCGCAGCCTGCCGCCGCCTGCCCTCGTCCCAGCGCCAACTGGGCGCGAAGGCCTCACGATGCGTGGCCTAGTTCCCTGGGGCCCGATGAGGGGCGGGCCTCCAGGAGCAACCGGCCGCAGGAGGCCGTACCCAGTCGGTCCGGTTTGCCTGGAGAGAAGCCACTGCCGTTCCCTGGAGTGGCCTGGGGCGGAACGCTTCTCGCCCAGGGCCCAGCCCCGCATCTGATCGGCAGGTGGAGCTCCGGGCTGGTACAGACTCGCGGGCTCGCTCCCTCTGGCCTCAAACTTTCCGCCCAACTTGGCTGCTGCGCGCCGCGGCGCTGGGAGGGCTCTGGGCGCCGGCCCGGCCACGCCCCCGCCTTCCCGGAGCTCACAAGGGAGCCCGGCGCCCACTCGGCCTTCCCGGCCCAGCCCCATCACTGTCCGCGCACACGACCGGGTCACGCGCGGCCTATTGGCTAGGGCTCCTGGGGCGCGACTCTGCACCCCGCCGCTTGTAACGGGAGCGGCGCGGAGACGCGGGCGAAGCATCCGGCCGCTAGCGGCGCCCGGCGGCTGCAGCCTGTGCCGGCAGCGCCAAATGGAGTGCGCGCAACGCGGACCAGGAGAAAACCTGCCTGGATGCACAACATCTAAACGGGCTTCGGGCGCGCGCCCTTTCACGCTCCGGGAGACACCTCGACGCCGCCCTGGGCGAGGGGTGGCGACCAGTTCACGCCGCGGGAGGCAGGGATGAAGGAGCCCGCTTGACGCCCCGGGAATTCGAGACCACATCCTTGCCAGGTGCCCCTCATCCGGATCGGGGCATCTCCCGCCGCCCGGGGCGTCCTTTGCTTTTCCACCCCCGCACTCTCCGAGGAAGGTTATTTTTAGCACCCCGGTGTGCAGCCTGGCCCCTGAGCCCGAGGCAGCCGGGCGTACCATCCACAAAGCCACGGAGGCTCCGAGCTGGAAAGGGAGGCGGGCAGGGGAGGGCCTCGTTAAGAAGCTCAAAAGTTGGGATCCTTGCCCCCGGAAGGGACACCATCGAGGCTCACCTGGGCCAGAGCAGCTGCCCGCAGCGGGCGATCCAGGTCCTCGTTGGTCACCCGCCGGTGAGGCGCCTGGCATCGTGGCAGGGCCCCGGGGATCGGGTCCCGATTAGAGCGCCAAGCTGGGCGGGTGTGGCCCCCGAGGCCACCCCTGTCCCCCGCGGCCAGCGCGAGGCTGCGAAAGCACGCAGGAATTATCGCTTAGTGGAGGCCGCCGGGGGCGCGTGTGTCAGTGTGAGAGCTGTACTTCTCCCGGAGAGGGACCGAAGGTGCCCGCTACAATCTCGAGTGAAATGCCCGGGTTATTTGCAGCGCCTGAGAGGAAGAAGTTGCCACAGCTGACGTGGTGACTGCGGGCCAGGTAAGGGTCAAGGATAGGAAAAGCCAAGCCCCTCACCCCCTGTTCGGAGGCAGAGGGATTGGGGGGAGGTCCCCAAGCCAGCCCGGCTGCGGAGAGCCCCGGCGCGCGCACCTGCCCCGCTCTCCGCGCACACGCGCTTCTGCTCATGGCTTCTTAAATGGAGAAGAGGCAGGTCCGGGACGAGCGCGGAGCCAATTAGCCGGGCGGCGCCCTGACCTCGGGCACGCCTCCACGGCACCTTCTGTTCACGAGGACCCGGGCGGCCCGGTCGCGTTTCCTAACTCTCGGTAGTGGGTGGAGGGAAAGGGGCAAGAGGACGAGCCTCGGGGGTCTCCCGGCAGGGTGCGGTGGCGGGGGTGGGGTGGGATGGGATGGGAGACGTGGTCCTTTGGACCCGCCTTGGCTTCTTTGAGCGCCTCCCCCTCCCCGGCAGCCCCAGCTGGGGTCCTGGGCGCCCCGAGCGAGTGCCGAGGTGGTGACTCAGCGACGCGCTCACGGGTGGAGAAACTCCGCGACCCCAGGAACTCAGGGAGGAGGGGTGCAGTGGTGTCGCCAGCCCCACCGCTCCACCCCCGCCCCCGGGCCGGCGCCCGTCCGCAGACTCCGGTCCTGCACCCCGGCCCCCTGCCCCCACTGCCCGGGAATCCGGCGCGGGCAGGGGAGGGCGGCGCTGCAGCCGCAGTGCTGCTGTCACGCTGTCACGCGCTGCGGGGACGCGAGCCATGGCGGGAGGAAGGGGCGCCGCACGGGAGCCCCGGGCCGCCGTGCGCCGCGCGCCCCCCGCCTGCCCTCCCTCCTGCGGCTCCGAGGTGAGAGGCTGGGTCTGGCTTTGACTCCTGGAAGACCGGTGGCAGGGAGGGGTGGGGGGAACATGGGGGGCCCTCGTCCTTCAGCTAGAGCTCGGAGCGGGGGCAGCGCCAGTTGTGGAAGGCCCAGTGGGAGGAAGGCGAACTGACCCCGGTTCTAGGGAACACAATGACCCCATTGTCCTCCCTGCCACCTCGCCCCAAGGCCCATAGTGCTGCCTGCTCTGCCCTGTGCCCGCTTCTCCCTCGCCTCTGCCAGTCCCGGTGCCTCTGCTAAGAACGCTGCTGCTTTTGCAAAGTTAGCAACACCAGAAAGACCTCCATCACCCTCTGGCCAGGAGCCTGGCACCCCGCGGCTTGGCTGGACAGTGAAGAGTCCCACGCACAGCCCCCCAACCTCAGACCAACTCCTTAGGGAGCTAAGCAGCTGTCACAATCCTGATCCAGGGACCCAAGAGGCCAAGCCTCCTGCAGTGGGCCTGGGGAGTGGGGGTGGGCAGGCTTCTGGCTGTTGCTCCTGCCCAGGCCAGTCACTAGGTCCCGCTGAGAAAGCAGAATGGCTCCCAGGAAGACCCACCAGGGGCCTGCCATCGGGCGTGGGCCAACTGGGTGGCCCACTGCGTCTGCCAGCCAGGGCTGGGCTTCCCGATGTACCTGCTACACAGGTGAGGGGGGTTGTGGGTCTGTCTCCCCCGGCCTCCCCAGGCAGGCACACCTGAGCGCCTCCGCCTGCCTGGGGTAGTTTTGTTTTTTCTCTGGAGAAAGAAAGCAGGCATTCATTCATGTGCCAGCCTCTCTGGTCACCTGGGAGCGAGCCTGGCAGGTGACTGGCTGTTAGTGGGAGGGACTCCTGGCCATCTCACCCTGGCCTGAAACTACTTTCCCTGCAGGTTCCAGCTCTCCAGCTGCAGAGCCCGAGGCCTGCCCTGACCTCAGTCTTCCCTGTGGTGCCGCTTTACTGCGTGCCAGGCTGCCAGGGCAGGGGCCAGGCAGACGGGGAGGCGGCCAGTCCTGGCGGCTCTCTTTAAGATTTGCTGTTCCTGGACTGGCCTGTGCGTGGTTTTCCATTCTAGGAGTTTTCCTAGATGTGGCTTCCAGGTTGGCCAGGGCAGGCCTGGCGGGCAGAAGGGGGGGATCTGCCAGCACCGGGGGGATCTGGGACAGCGGGCTAGAGGTGCAGGATTCCTGGCTGTGGGCAGTGAGGGTGTGCTTTGGCCAGGTTTCCTGGTCCTCTGCAGCTGTGAGCAGGGGGCGGCATGGTCTCCTCTTCTCTGTGGATGTCCTCTCTAAACCAGGAGGCCCCAGGGCTCTGCCTCCCACGTGCTCTCCTCCCCTGAGCTGCAGCTCCCAGAACATTCTCAAGGCAGGTGTCTGTGTAGGCCATTCTTGTTCCACCCTGAACTGTGGGAGTGTTGCTTTGTGTGTTTCCTGGGGACTTGGGAAAACAGAAACGCATTGTGTCCCTGGTTCAAGGTCACGGTGTGGGCAGCCTTGGTTCCCAGGGAGGCTGTGGGGGAGGTCCTGTCACTCATCAGCACCCCAGGACTTGCACAGGTGTCACCCCGCTCTGACCTGTCTTGTCTGCAGTTTCACACGCTGTTCTCCCAGGGAAGGAGTCGGCCGAGATTTGTCATGAGATTGGATCTTCCCTGGGCCTCTGTGGCTTGTTCTCTGTCAGCTGTCACCGACTCTCGGAGGGAAAACCTACTTGATTGGGAGCTAGGAGTGTCTTCTTCTTGTTTTTACCTTTTTTCACTAAATGCGTATCTCAGAGCAACCAAGAGAGATCTCACTCTTAAATGCCCACAACAGCCCAAGCTAGGCCAGGTAGAAGCCAGGAGCCCCATGCATCTCCCCCTAAGGCTGATGGTGGCCCAAGCACCGCAGGCTCCCCGGGCTGCCGCCTTCCCAAAGTGCATTTGCAGGAAGCTGGATTGGAAGTTGAGCAGCCAGAAATGTAGGGAGTGGCCCTTCAAAACAGGGTGTGACCCCTTGGTACAACCTGGGACAAGACCAGGTATTCTGGGAGAGGAATGGAGGATTTGCTGGCACAGGTGTGGGAAGAAAGGGTGTCTGGGAGGCTGGCCTGCCCTCCTGCTGGTGCTGCCAGTGTCTGGTCCTCTGAAAGCTGCTTATGTCTGTATGGAAAGCACAGACTCCTGGCCTAGCACCTCCACTGTGCCTTCTTTAAAAAAAAAAAAAAAAAAAGAGAGGAGGAGAGACAGAGAGGAAGATCTTCGTCCAATGATTCACTCCCCAAGTGAGCACAACAGCTGATGCTCCAAAGAGGCCAGGAGCCTCTTCCAGGTCTCCCATGCAGGTGCAGGGTTCCAAGATTTTAGGCCGTCCTCGACTGCTTTCCCAGGCCACAAGCAGAAAAGGAGCTGGATGGGAAGTGGAGCTGCCAGGATTAGAACTGGCGCCCATATGGGATCCTGATGTGTTTAAGGTGAGGACTGTAGCCACTAGGTTACCGCGCCAGGCCCTCCACCATGCCTTCTGCCTCACCGCTCAGAGTTGGCGCCGGGACCACAGGCTCCTCGGCCTCCTGAACAGATGGGTTAGCTCCCCAGGCCTTGGAAGAGCTCTGCTGAGTGTTGGACACGGTGTTCGTGGGTTCATGGGGAGTCCCCCTCAGCTTTTCATTCTTGTTTTTCCACCAATGTTTCAAAACCTTCCTGTGTTAGGTCCTTACTGCTGTGCTCATGGAAAACCACGGAATTTTATGTGTGTGGGGCTTCGAAGTTGGTGGCGTGCCTGCAGGCAGTGTTCCCTGGCGCTTCCCAGCTTCCCCGGGGCCACTTGCACTCCTTGGCTCAGGGCCCCCTCCTGAAACATGGAATCTTCCAAGCCTGCTCTGGCCTCCACTTGGCTGTCCCATTCCCCACTTCCCGCC